TTTATTATAATTTTTATCCATGTTGAGTGCTAAAAGATAATTAGTTCAGCTCTGCAATTGTCAATGGCCAATTAACAACAGTGCGCCTGATTGGTTCATTGTAGAGTTTTAGTCGTAAAAATAAGTCATATTTTCAACAGAAGTATTCTGGTTCCAAATTAAAATTCCTTGTATGTCACGGAGGCAGAGTAATTAACAGCTGCAGGTGTGAAGTGTACGATAATGTATACAAGAGAGCTTGATGCTGTGTAAGGTAACGTGTGTCCCATATTAAAACTTACTTGTCTTATTTTTATATACTGTATATACAAATACAAGTGCACCAACAGGTATATATATATATACATTCCAGGTAATCCAGGTACAATAATTATCACAATATTTACACCTGGTCGAGTTTTATAGGTGTTATTTACTGTTTCAAAGTATTCTATGACCTTCAGCGGCCTGTGTCTTTAAGCACAGTTCACTTCGTCTTAGTTTCTACACTAGATCTTATGTGTCGTGTGGAAGCTAAGTGTGTCTAGGGAGCTTCATGTTACACCGGTCTACATACGGGACACATTACTCCACCTGTGTCTATGTGTGATGTAATCCCTTAACTCCACCATCCATAACCCTCCAGCCCTCCTCTACCAGAACCTTCCATAAACCTCCATCATAACCCACTATAACTCTTCACCATAAACCTCCACCATAACCCACCATAATTCTCCACCATAACCCACCATAATTCTCCACCATAACCCACCATAACCTTTCATCATAACCCACTATAGCCCGCCACCATAAGCCACCCCAACCCACCATAACCCTCCACCATAACCCTCCACCATAACCCTCCACCATAACCCTCCACCACAACCCTCTACCATAACCCTCCACCATAACCCTCCACAACCCTCCACCATAACCCTCCACCATAACCTCCACCATAACCCTCTCCACCATAACCCTCCACCATGCAACCTCCACCACCCTAACCTCCACCATAACCCTCCCCACAACCCTCCACCACCAAACCCTCCACAACCCCACCACTCCTAACCCTCCACCACAACCCTCCACCACCAACCCTCCACCACCACCATAACCCTCCACCATAACCCTCCACCATAACCCTCCACCATAACCCTCCACCATAACCCTCCACCATAACCCTCCACCATAACCCTCCACCACAACCCTCCACCATAACCCTCCGCCATAACCCTCCACCATAGTGCTCTGGTAGACGCAACTGACACAATAACAACATTACACAGTTAGTACATTACATAAAACGACTTGGCTTCAGCATCTCCAGCACAAGCTCACTCGCTCGTCTCAATGAAGACCTTTGATAATAACTTGGAAAATTTCCCCCGAATTCCAATATTCTCTCAATCATAAGGCCAGCGGAACAACGAGCTCTGATTGGCTGTAGCGCACTCGGTCACCTAGAGGCAGACCAATGGTATCCCAGTAGTATTTACGCCAATGGCGGTTCCTCTTGGGGATATGAACCCGTTTGGTCAGAAGTTAAAGACTATTGGATCGTCTTAGGGAGGACTGGAAGTAGTGTTGGAACACCTGTTCACTTATGATGCTTCTACCACTCGAGTTTTGGGGTTTTATTGGTACTTTCAGGGACGCTGAGTCGCTCTACACTATTTCTAGTCCTGTAACACAACCACGTGAGGGAGTAGAGGAGGGAAGTTTGATCAAGAAATGGCTTTATGTGTTAAGTTATTCACCGAGAGAGTAAAGGTGGGAGATACTGAGAGACAGAGAGACAATATGACCAAGAGACAGTATCCAGGAGACAGACAGACAGACACACACAACCACAGACAGACAGACAGAAAAAAGAAACCGATACACAGACAAAAAGACGAAGAGAATGAGACAATGGAAGAGAGAATCAAGAAGAGACTGAGAGAAGACAAGATATACACAACACATAGACAGGAGACACGAGGGGAGAGACACACACTAAACCTCTCTATTGATACAATACCTATTAAATCCCCTTGGTTAATCCCAGTCACTGATAGATTATTGGTATACGACTTGGGGGATTAACAAGCCGACACGACACACACACACACACACACACACACACACACACACGTCATCAGTATTAGAGAGAAGACAATGTTATCTTTCAACTCTGTTTAATATTGCCGCCGTAAGAACTGTTATTATGATGTGTACTCGCGGCACGTTGATGAGAGGCCTTTATCTCTCTACCTCACCTTCTCTCTCTTTATATCCCTTTATCTCCCTCCGTCTGCCTCTCTCTCTCTCTCTCTGTTTTCCTATCTAACCTTCTATGTCTCCTTCTACCACGGAGAACACAAACAACAACAGGTGTTGTCAGTGTACCTGTGTCACGGAGCACCACTGAGAACACGGACAACAACATGTGTTGTCAGCGTACCTGTGTCACGGAGCACCACGGAGAACACGGACAACAACATGTGTTGTCAGTGTACCTGTGTCACGGAGCACCACGGAGAACACGGACAACAACATGTGTTGTCAGCGTACCTGTGTCACGGAGCACCACGGAGAACACGGACAACAACAGGTGTTGTCAGTGTACCTGTGTCACGGAGCACCACGGAGAACACGGACAACAACATGTGTTGTCAGTGTACCTGTGTCACGGAGCACCACTGAGAACACAGACAACAACAGGTGTTGTCAGTGTGCCTGTGTCACGGAGCACAGACAACACTGTCAGTGTCAGGTGTTGTCAGTGTACCTGTGTCACGGAGAACACAGCACAACACCTGTGTCTCACGGAGACACAGACAACAACAGGTGTTGTCAGTGTGCCTGTGTCACGGGGAGAACACAAACAACAGCAGGTGTTGTCAGTGTACCTGTGTCACGGAGCACCACGGAGAACACAAACAACAACAGGTGTTGTCAGTGTACCTGTGTCACGGAGCACCACGGAGAACACAGACAACAACAGGTGTTGTCAGTGTACCTGTGTCACGGAGCACCACGGAGAACACAAACAACAACAGGTGTTGTCAGTGTACCTGTGTCACGGAGCACCACGGAGAACACAAACAACAACAGGTGTTGTCAGTGTACCTGTGTCACGGAGCACCACGGAGAACACAGACAACAACAGGTGTTGTCAGTGTACCTGTGTCACGGAGCACCACGGAGAACACAAACAACAGCAGGTGTTGTCAGTGTGTGCCTGTGTGCAGGCACCACAGGAGAGCACAAGCAACACAGGTGTTGTCCAGTGTACCTGTGTCACGGAGCACCACGGAGAACACAAACAACAACAGGTGTTGTCAGCGTACCTGTGTCACGGAGCACCACTGAGAACACAGACAACAACAGGTGTTGTCAGCGTACCTGTGTCACGGAGCACCACTGAGAACACAGACAACAACAGGTGTTGTCAGTGTACCTGTGTCACGGAGCACCACTGAGAACACAGACAACAACAGGTGTTGTCAGCGTACCTGTGTCACGGAGCACCACGGAGAACACAGACAACAACAGGTGTTGTCAGCGTACCTGTGTCACGGAGCACCACTGAGAACACAGATAACAACAGGTGTTGTCAGTGTACCTGTGTCACCAGGTGTCACACAAGTGTGTCACGTGCTGGGGTGACATTCACACTCCAGCGGCCTCCTGACGGCGACGCACAAGGCACTCACTGACACTTTCCTTCTGGCGTTGAGGGACGAGTGAGATCTCCCCACACACCTGTCACCAGCCATCACCAGCAACTCCCCCCACAGGAGCCGCCATGCTGCTGCCTCTTCCCTCTACCTGACGGAGGCCCCACAGAGACCCCCGCTGTCACCATAATACATTATACAACCACCACCACCACCTTCACCACACAAACACACAACAACACCAAATTCTAATTTACATAAACACAAACACACATACACATACACACAGACACACCCATAACCAATACTCATTTACATACAGCCAAAAAAAACATACATACACACACACACACTAAAAATAAAGTTTAATTTAGTCACAAACACGTATATACATTCATCAATAAACTCTAATTCACTCCACACACACACACACACACACACACACACACACACACACACACACACACACTCATTTCACGTTTGCTCCCAGGTATTAAGTGCCTGCGGTAAACCCCATCACAGTTGCCAGAACGGAACAAATCCCCGAGTAATTACAGCTTTGCCCCTGGGAAATATCAGCTTCATTAGTACCTGTCAATCTTTAATTATGTAAAAAAAAAAATAATTGTTGTTTTCGGGGTCCCAAATGCCCTTGGATTCATCAAGGTTAGTACAATAGTGTGTTGGTAATACTGGAGGTCAATAGTGTGTTGGTAATACTGGAGGTCAATAGTGTGTTGTAGGAATGAGTTGGTGATTAGTTCAGTAGTTAAGTGGATTATAAGTAAATATATTTGATAAATGAATGACAATATTTTGGTTTTTACTTTTTTTCCCTATTTTATTTCTTCTTTTTCACATTCTATGAAAATTCTCCCCAAAACATAAGTCACTTTGTCTGTCTGTCTCTCTCTCCCACCACACCCTAATCCCTACACAAAGCTGACAGTGGTACTCAACTCTCAGAAACCTTACCACTTACCTTACAGAGTACGTATAAGTCTGGGAGGCTAGCCCGAGTACAGATCATCTGCTACCAGGCATATTACTGTTACGCAGCCAGGTAAGTCATTATATATTCATTACCTGGGGGAGCCTTACTGATGCAGGTGAGCTTTCTGTCTGTCTGTCTGTCTTATGTTTCAATTAAGTAAGGTTCTGTTTTATTTGTTGAGGGATAATGAATGTGATGTGGGCTTGCGTGTTTGTGTGTGTGTGTGTGTGTTGGCTGCTGGGTGTGTGTGTGTGTGTGTGTGTGTGTGTGTGTGTACTGTACACATGTATTAAGTAATCTTTTAGTTATTAATCATCAGGAAAAAGTAATTTAATAGTTATGTATGGTAAGAGCGAGGTACTGACCGCCAGTGCCCAGGTCGAGGAGGGGTACCAGCACGGGAGGGTAAGTGCCTCCTGTAGCGTTGGTGCCAAGTCTCTGTAGCGTTGCCTTCACCGCCGCGTCCATCACTGCTGCTCCCCCCATCTGGCAACAACAGACAGACATACAAACGTTACTTCTGGTATATAATGGTATAAGTGATGGTTATTCCTATGTAAGGGAAGACTTATGTTATCTTCTATGTTAGTTCCTTCAACAAGATGTAAGGCACCCAACCGTTTGACAGCCTTACTATACTTCACTAATATTACTTGTCAATTCCGTACCTTAATTTCTCCGTAGATAATGATTGGTCGATTTTCTTCTGCAGTGATGACGTCTTCTGTGTCCTGATTGGTCCAGACCCGCACCGAGACATCATTGGTAGAGCTAGGGAGTGACGTCACCTGGATGTGCAGAGCCTGGTGGGAATCTGCGCGGTTTTCCACCTTGTAGCGCCAAACTCCGCGCTGAAATAGAGTGTCGAATCGTAATTACGGTCTCTGACAAAGCACATTTGTCCCGTGTAGTGCGTACAAATCTTTATGAATAGTAAATCACAATCATAAGGAAAGTCATTAAATCACTGTCAGTATCCGCTACATTCTTGACATCATCGTTCATTGTCATCCTCTGCAACAATTATCATACCTTATTGCAGACTAAAGTTTTTTTTTCACATACATCTAATACTGAGCTTTTAGTCTTTGTTTTACGATAGCCGATGTAGCCGCTACGATAGACAATTTTGGACGTTAAAGATGTAAAACACTGACATATACGTTTTTTGTTCCTTCATAAACTTTGCAGAAAGATCACAAAATAAACATAGACAGGTAAAATAAAATGACACAAACGTCAAACCTCCACACGAGTCACTGGTGTACTGTGGATAATCTAAAAATAAAACTTCATCCTGTGGTTAAACCCTTTGAAGATGATAGTTTAATCCCTAGAGGGTGAAGGATAAATTCTCGATTTAGCGACAGAAACAATAATCTTTCCCCACAAAAGTGTTTCATCTCAGTAAAGGAACACCTGACACCCAGCAGCACATTATTGATGGGTGTACAGTGCCACCTGGTGACGAGGAAGAAGAACCTGAACACACCTCGGCGTTGTGTAGGTTGACGGAGATCATGTTAACGTCACCGTCCTCCTCCTGCATGTTGACGGAGGCGAAGGTGGCTCCTGAGGGTGCTGTGAGGTGGATGGTGTTGCCCACGTGGTTCAGGTCGTAGTAGTAGACGGCGAAGCGCGCGTTTGCAGACAGGGAGTCGTCGAGGGAGAAGGAGCCTGAACTGAGGGAGGCGATGCCGCCCTGGTAGGTGGCGCTGTGGATGAGTACGGGCGTGGTGGCTCCTCCCGCGGCCACAGCGGCGGTCAGGGCCTCCATCAGGGATACCAACATGCTCACCTAGCGGACGTAGGGAGAGAAGGAATAAGGTGATAGGTGGACAGTGAAATAATGCTGCCAAGCAGGAAGAAGGTGACTCAACAATTACTAAAGAATAATGAAAATAGGAGGAAATAAATGAACGTCTCTATTATTATTATTATTATTATTATTATTATTATTATTATTATTATTATTACACCTAGACTGCAACACTACAGTCTTACAACTCCACATTCCACATAGTATCTTTATCCAGCATTCGGGACAATATCCACTACAGTATTACATAGAAGGAGTAAAACTAAATTGAAGAAAATAATTATCTAAGGGCTTGACAGATTAAACGACTCGCCTAAGGCTTTAAAAAGATAAACCTGAACAGGGATTTAATAACACCAACCAAATTAATGAGCCAGGACTATAGAAGGTGAGGTAGACACTTTAACATGTATATTTAGGAAGGTGTGGTAAAACATATTTCAGAATAGTTCCCCAGCACCAATTAACACAGCAACGAGAGCAGCTATGCAAATAGTGCCGCCTGTCCTAAACTAGCGGCTCTAATTGTGAGTGACATCCCAATTTGCAGCACAGCGACTGTAACACGGCACAGGGAGGCAAGTTTACTACCATTCAGTGTCCGAACTTGGAGAGTGAGAGTAAAGTCAGAAAAACGTTAATTCAAGTTGACTTACACACATATGTAAAATAAGAAAAAAAAGGTTGATTCACATGAAGATTAGACATCCAGTTTATTTCACCTGATGATTCAACACCCTAACGCTAACCTAACCTATTCTAATACATCTTAAGATAACCTAACTGTATCAAACCCTACCAGGTGGCTTTAGAGTGTTTAAAGATCAGGTGAAATAAACCGGGGTGCCTCTTCTTCACTTGACCCACACAAACCACTCACACAGATGGGAACTTTACATCACCGGGTCACCTGCTTCACCCCCCAGTCTCGGTGTTTGTGTTAGTATCCTGGTGAAGGAGTAACGAAGGAAGAAGATATGTGAACTAAAATGGAGATCAGTTTTCAAAATCAGAGCAAATTTTTATTACTATCCTGGGGGGTGGGGGGAGGGGGGTCACCAAATGTTCACGGTTAGAGAGAAAATATTTTGTTGCTTTTAATTAGTGTGAAGGGGGGAGAGGGGGATTATACTGACTCCCCGGTGCCTCAATGTATTCCGCCGCTGATTAAAAGCCATAACTGTACAAAACCTCATTAAATACCCATAGTAAAGGATATAGTCATTTGATTGGCCATTTCCACCCCTTGAATTACCTGGTGCCTGTTAAGAACTAGAGAGAAGGAATGAACAATTAATTATCCACACTCCGTCACTCACCTTGGAGTCAATGCCTACTCCCTCATCCATGACGGTGAAGACTCTGCCTCCAGACTCCCTGGCGATAGGCACGAGGGCGTGAGGCGGGGCTGGGAGGCCAGGACGCTCGGCCAGCGGGTACAGCACCAACAGGAGCCGCAGCCCGTACTTGCGCACCAACTGCCTCACCTCCTCTGCCTCGCTCTCCCTCCCGTCACCTCCGCTCGTCACCATAACGATGTTGGCCGCCTACAACAGGGAGGAGGACGACGAGACAATTAGTTTAACCTTAATTACATCAAAATCACTAAACAAAACAAAACATACACAGTAAGAGGCTCCCACAAGCAGTCCCTAACATTTCACTAATCCAATTGAATGCTAACGTCATGCAATACTAACGTGCATGATCACATAACATGCAGGAACGTTATGGAATCGTTAGCTTTAATTAATAGAATATACCATGAACAGACTGCAAACACTGGCTGTAGGATAGTATGATATCAGTTTGTGTATAAAAGTTGAGTTGATGCTCTACCTACAGTAGTCACCCCGTCACATGAAAGACGTGTGGGTGTGACGGGAGGAATTGATGTGTGTATGTGTGTGTGTGTGTGTGTGTGTGTGTGTGTCAGAGAGTGGTCACAGTACATATATTAGGATAAAAGACCGACGTTCACACACCAACACTTACCCTACTCTGGTTCTGTATCTTACATAATCATTCAACTATAGTACAAAGAATATTATCTCACCCAAGCTACAAAAAAAATACTTCCCTAAGACCAAATATCCTGTAAAATATCTTACATAATATTAAAAAATTGTAATATATCATAAAAACATTGAACTATATTACATAACGTTTCAAGTTACTATACAACAATAAAGAAATAATTTATAATTTATCTTCCATATAAAAGCTCACAAAATTAAGTACCATTTAAACACCAATAAAGCACCAATTAAGAACCATTTATCACCTTTATATTAACGTACTATGCATCAGTAACTGTGTAATCTATTATAAATCTAATCAACTTTTAACACAGGGGACTTCAACAAAGGTTTTCCTGTAATAATAATGATAATAACTTTCACCCGATAACACGAGGCCAATAAAACCTGAGCCACATTATAAACAATTTGTGCCTCAGTACTTCCCTGAGTTTTGATAATGGTAAAGCTGGCGGGGAGAGAGCGAGAGAGAGAGAGAGAGAGAGAGAGAGAGAGAGAGAGAATTTGGTTATGGGTATTTTACTCCTCATCGACTAATAACAAACTTAATTTGCAATTCATGGATATTTTTTTTTTCATACACCATAAAGTATAAAAAAAATTCACCCAAAAATTATTCACAAAATGTAATGCAATTAATGACTGGGCTATAAAACTCTACTGTATATGAACACAAAAAAATTACCATCATAGGTTTTCATGTTAGAGTTTATGGAGGAGGTGTGAGGTAGGTGGATTAACACAGGTAGTTCATGAGTTACCTGTTGCATAGTTAACAACGATACTGCTAATAAGTTATATACCTGGGTGTCTTAACTTCTCCTTCTCTTTATGTGTGTGTGTGTGTGTGTGTGTGTGTGTGTGTGTGTGTGTGTGCTCCTCCACTACCATTAACGTACCTGCGGCTCTGCTCCTCCCTCCTTCAAGACCCGCACCGCTCTCTTGATACCGCATGCGATACACGCCTGGCTCTCCCGCACGTTGGACGGGTTCCGGGGCAAGGAGGACCCGACCCTCTCCCGCAGGTCTGATACTGTCGACTCCAGCTGATAAACACAGATAACAGGTGATAATTAATAAGCTTAATTATTGTATTTTATCCTTCTCTCTCTCTCTCTCTCTCTCTCTCTCTCTCTCTCTCTCTCTCTCTCTCTCTCTCTCTCTCTCTCTTTCTCTCTCGCTCTCTCTCTATTCTTTGCAACATAGATTATCTCAATATTTCCGTACCAAACACCTTCGTTATAATTGCATTTACCAGCCTGTATGAAAGATTTCTCGTGTGAAACCTAATTTGTAAAGTGATTTGATGTCTTCCTAATTTATGAACGGAGTTGAAGTTTATATTTTGTCCATTCATAATATACAAAGTAATGTTCAGTACAAATTCATTCATACTCTTATTTATTCATGAGCCAGACTACATCGTTTCATTCATATGCTACAACACTTCATTCACAACCTATAGTTTTTCATTAATAAACTACAACACTTCATTCAAATACTACAGTACAACACTTCATTCATAACCTATTCTTTTCATTCAAATACTACAACACTTCATTCATAACCTATAGTTTTTCATTCATATACTCCAACACTTCATTCATAACCTATCTCTTTTCATTCATATACTCCAACACTTCATTCATAACCTATCTCTTTTCATTCATATACTCCAACACATCAATCATAAGCTACAACACATAACCTGTACACCGTTGATGATAGCGACTTACCACGGTAGAGAGCGGGGCCGCCTCTCTGTCCTCAGCATTGAACACAACCACCGCCACCTGAGCTCCGTTAGGCAAATCGTACACTACTACACGTCTCACTGCCTTACGTACGAACTCCCATCGACGCTGTGGAAGGATAATAACAAAGAAATCAGTTTGTTAGTATGTATAGGGAAAGGTCATTACTCATTTGACTTTAAATTGGGGGAAGGAAATTGGATTAGTGATACCTGGAGACAGAGACAGACAGAGACAAAAACAGAGAGAGAGGGAGAGAGAGAGAGAGAGAGAGAGAGAGGGAGATAGAGAGAGAGAGAGAGAGAGAGAGAGGCTGACCCACTCACTAAGTTGGAGAACCTCTACACCTTAACTTTGATCTCACATAATCAACTTAAGTTCTCCTACATACACCTGTTAATTCTAGCGGCGTCTCTTTATTATTCGTGTTGTTCTCTCTACCTCCCTTGTGTTAGTTCTCTCTCTCTCTCCTCCTCATGTCTTTCTTCTGTCATCTTTTAGTGGTTTTATTTATTTTATTTTGTTTATGTTTTTATTTTGCTATGTATTGGGAGTTGATCATTTACTGTCTATCTGTCTGTTTGTCTGTCTGTCTGTCTGTCTGTCTGTCTGTCTGTCTGTCTCTCTTATACCAGACACATTACATTGCATTAATCTCTAAAGGTCACCCTAAATGCAATTAGTGTGTAATATTAAGGCGATTATTACAGAAAGAAAATAAATCATTATAAATTACATTAGTTAGTCGTTGTTCTTACGCTTAGCAACACCACAGTGGGGGGCGGGGGGGGAGGGGAATTATCTCGTTGAATCAGTGAATCAGTAAAAAAACAAATTACAGCTAAAGAATAACAAATACTAAGAGATAAATTAATAAAAAAGTTAAAACTCCGTAATGTGTGAAAAATATTGTCAGTCAGTTCGTCAGGATAGGCGGGTATTGAGCTGACTTACTCAGTATTCTTAGGTAATTGGTTAACGTTTGTATAAGGTCAGGAGAAGGAGGTCATCTCTATGGTCAGTATTACGTGTGAGATATTATCAGTCCACCAATCAGGGTACACATATTCAGGTCTGAGGGCTGGCAACCATAGCCCACCATACTCTGTTCTTGTGTTAATCTTAAAAGGAATAATGGTAACACTAACTATTATTACCATACAAACACCGCCATAATGTCTCTACCCATAACACCATCACCATCACCACCATCACCTACACTCTCACCATACCACCAATAACCATCACCACCATCATCACTATCATCACCTTACAACAGTCATCATCAGGTGGTCTACACTATTTTCCACGCCTCAACATTATCGGAGGAACTTAATGTAATTTGCATACGAGTTTTCTACTGAATATAAAATTTCATTATAGCTCCCAGGACTAACACTATGGCCACCCAACTCAACCACTTTCATGGCCGCTGCTCCAGAACTCTTCAATGATTTAAAAAAAAGAAAAAAAAAGTAAGAACATAAAAATTAAATTCAGTCATAATAAAAAAAATGAATTAGATTAAGCTCTCTGATAAAAAAAAAGATTAAAATTTCATCGATACTTTAAATTTCCTGTTAATACTTCGTGGTTAGAAAAAAAATCAGGAAAAAACAAAAACATTTTCGGATCGTTTAATCTCAGCCGTGATTGGTGGACTGGCTGCAGCACGGCCTGGAAACACCCAATTAGCTATTACCATGAAAAGCATCTCACTGTTGCTAATTTCACTAAGTAAATCACACGCAGGTAATCGACTTCTCCCTCTCTACTTCACGTCCAGTTTATCGGGAAGGTTCTTGTCATCTTTTTGTGTTTTCTTTATCCCTCCTTCTATGTTTTCTTTATCCCTCCTTCTATGTTATCTTTATCCCTCCTTCTATGTTATCTTTATTCCTCCTTCTGTGTTATCTTCATTCCTCCTTCTATGTTATCTTTATTCCTCCTTCTATGTTATCTTCATCAACAGTATTCTTGTTATCGTTATTGTCAACTGTTATACCCTTATTATCCTTATTTCTAGTCTAAAATGAAGGAGAGAGAGGAAGAGAGAGAGAGAAGTAGTAGAAAGAAAGACAAGAGGGAGAATATAAGGAACAAGAAAATTACACTAATTCGTGGAAAAAGACCGAAATCTAAAATACATTTACATACAGAAAAGGTAAATAAATACACACACACACGTTTCAAGACGAGGTGATCAATGGAGGGACATTCCAAGCAGGCGCGGGGCGAGACATCAGAAAAGGTATCCATCATTAAAATGGGTCTTTTTAGAAATCGGGAGGTGGGTGAAAAATCAGAAGGTGTTACAGCGAAGGTGCGTTACGTTTTATCAAATCAAGCAAAAAAGTTCGAGGCAGGGTTCAAAGGCAACATCTGGCCAGGTTGCTTTTAATCTTGAGCCGTCAGACGCACAGTTCCGCACCAGAGTTGGAAATTGAAGATCCGGACTTGGGTATGAGTGACGACCCAAGTTATGTGAAGTAAAAAGGTAAATCGAGTCAAGAGCTAAGAAAACCAAGAAAAGAATAAAGAAAAATGATAAAAGTTGGTAGAAAGAGAGAATAGGATAAGGTACAGGTAACGAGGAGGGAGAGAGTATTGACAGGTATAACTAAGGTAAAGTAATGACGAATGAGGGATATTTACGTCCATTTTTTTACCTCCAACATGTTAAACAAACTTCCAACACAGAGATGATTGTAGAAGGTGTATATAAAAGGAAAAGTTCACGTAAAATAAAAAGTCCGACTTCACTACATAAAACGAATGTTGAAGGAATGAAGAATGAGAAAAGTTCAGGTCGATCTTTCATCTCACGACGTTCAGTATCATAAGGTTAAAGGAACGTGGAAGTTTTAGATAGAGAAAATAGCTAATATCAATCCTTTGTGTTGCAAGAACTTTAAGATAAAAATATTAAACACGATAAAAGTAATTAATAAATGTAATAATATATATCAATCTATCGTCATTTAAGAAACTCAGAGTTACTAAATAAAATGAATGTAATCAAAGAATGAAAGGAAAGAAGATATAAAGGTCACGTTGAACTTTCGTATCAAATAATTCAAAATCTTCAGATAACAAGGAGCTGGAAGGGAGGGACCCACACTAAGAGTGAATCATCTGCTCGTGTTGACAATAGCAAGTGCTGGCTGCTGCAGTTCTATCACCAGTCATTATTGGAGTCACCAGCTGACACAAGCCACCCAAGACAACAAAAGGGTGACTGACCTGTCTGAATTTAAGCTGCAGATATTAAAGGAATTGAAAACAGGTGAGGTTGTTGATCTCTGTATCGTGTTATTCACAAATTGAAGTTGATATTGACGGTCCATGCTACCCAGGCATCCTCGATGTTGGATAGTATGAGAAGTGTGTTGATGTTTTTGATGTTTGCCAGATGTTAAGGCTGATATGTGTGTGTGTGTGTGTGTGTGTGTGTGTGTGTGTGTGTGTGTGTGTGGTATAATGATCTCTGGGAAATATTAATCAGATATGATGATGATGATGATGATGATAAATATAATGAGTACGGTAAGAGAAGTGATCTTTGGGAAATGTTAGCTGAACGTTCAGGAATTTATTGATGCAGCGTTTACTGAGAAAGGTCACAGTGTTGGAGTCTTTTATGGAGCGTCACACGGCCGTCACAAAGCATTAAGGTTTTCTGCAGAACGTCACACGGCCGTCACAAAACGTAAAGGTGTTGTAGAGAGAGGGAGAGGGGCGTCACAAGTGGGTGTTGTGTTGGGCGGTGATCCCGACACACTATCGCGGGGGCAGGTAATGGTACCTGTTAGATCCTTGGTGGCGGCAGAGCGGAACACAGCGCGTCTCCTCCGCCACAATGACCAGCAACTTGAGCTCTTATTTCCCTCTGTCACACAGCTTAATATGCCCCGGCGACCATCACCTCCCACCACACCTTTACTGACGCTACCAAACTTGACTTTTAACTTTCAATTTTCAGAAGTTTTCTCGTTTGAAGTTCACGAACGAGGAAGACTGAGAGACCTGGTCTTTAATTCTCTCACGAGGTCCCCAGCGTGGCTCATCTTGTGAGACAAAGGGATAGAATATGCTACTGCAACACGGAATTAACTTACATCTTATGGAGACAAAATACAACATTCATCTTGGTAACCCAGGAAAGGTCTCAGTGATCTAGTTCTCTACACACAGATCTTCCTACATGAAAAATGAGAGCAAGACTACCGATAAAGATGTATAGATCTTCCTGCATGAGACCACCACGTTATGGAAATATTATTATTATTATTAACCTTATCATAATAAATCCATGTAACAAATTTGATGAATATTAATTATTATAAGTTCATATTATCATGTTTACGACCACCTGACGGACGGACACACACTGCACATTATCACGTAGTCCAACACAAAGGACAGAGGAAGATAAATTTTAAATAGACGCAAAGAACATAACTACTTACATAGAAAGAGAAACACGAGTGAGAAAAAATAGAACGAGAGTAAAGAGAGAGGAGAGTAACACAGAGACAGACAGACAGACAGACAGGTAGACAAAAAGAAACAGCGATACAGAAAGCGACAGAGGGACACAGACAGAGCGAGAAATGGTGAGAGAGAGAGAGAGAGAGAGAGCTCATTGGATCACTGCACTGATAAGCTTCACTTTATAATAGAGTGAACAAACTTCTTAATCACCCAGCAGCAGAGGGAAGGAGGAGAGAGGAAGGAGGGAGAATGAGAGATGAGGGATAGGGAAGTGATACATAGTGAGAAAAAAATATATGAAATAAGAGATACTGGAGAATAATTTTGGGATAGACTCTCTCTCTCTCTCTCTCTCTCTCTCTCTCTCTCTCTCTCTCTCTCTCTCTCTCTCTCAGCAGGTGCCATAAGGTAGTCATTACAGTGTTAATAGCAATTATTCTCACCTGTACATTCATGACGCCCGTGTCTTCCACCAGGAGGACGAACCGCTGTGTTTGCTGACGTATGAAGAGCAGCTGAGGTGGCCTGGGAGGTGCCTGCCGGGGCGGTCTGTTATGAGCAAGAAACAAAAACATATCGAATATTAGAATAAAAAACAAGTGCCATTATTAGATATCTGCTCTAGTCTAAGTGTAAATAATGACTGTTTACATTAGGGTGTGGTGGATAAGTGGATAAAGTGCTCGCCTCCTGTCCTAAGAGTCGCTGGCTAGACCCCACTTCCGTCTACTCAGGTGTAAATGGTTCACCAATTTTAAAGGTTAGGGATGAGGAGGCGGTTGAGTGTAATGCCGGACAAGCCTGATCAAATGTGTGTGTTTGTGTGTGTGTGTGTGTGTGTGTGTGTGTGTGTGTGTGTGTGTGTGTGTATGTATGTGTGTGTGTGTGTGTATATGTGTGTGTGTGTGTGTGTGTGTGTGTGTGTGTGTGTGTGTGTGCAAAACAAACAAACAGACAGTGAGAGAGACAGAGAGGGCAACTAGACACCCCGGAACCGTCTTAAGAATGCATGGAGGCGGGCAGGGGGAGACGAGAGAGATGAAACCTCCTGACCCAATGATTTCATATGAGAGGAACCAAGACACACATGGCTCTCCCTTCACTGCTCACTATTTAATGAAGATCTCTGTTGGAGTAGGACGATAATGGCGTTTATAAAGATCAGCGTCTGTGGCAGACACACATGGCTCTCCCTTCACTGCTCACTATTTAATGAAGATCTCTGTTGGAGTAGGACGATAATGGCGTTTATAAAGATCAGCGTCTGTGGCACTGGAGCATTGTAAAAGGTTATGACATTATATGAGCCCAAACATAAGGGAAGGAGAGAAGGAGGGAGGATGAAAGGGAAGGAGAGAAGGGGGGAGGATGAAAGGGAAGGAGAGAAGAAAGGAGGGAGGCAGTTATAGCTGTGTTGGGGAGGGAGGGAGAGAAGGCTAGTGTGTTGGTGTGAGGGGAACGCTTGGCAGTACCCAGAGAGAGAGATTACAACGATAGTCAAATGTAGAGTGGAGCGTGTGTGTGTGTGTGTGTGTGTTTGTGTGTGTGTGTGTGTGTGTGTGTGTGTGTGTGTGTGTGTGTGTGTGTGTGTGTGTGCCAAAAGAACAGACCAACAGAGTCTTACTCATTACATGCCCTTGATGCCTTTCATGAATAAACCACTAACTAAAAATATCCCTGAATGAACAAACACTCAAATAAAAAAATAAAATAAAAATTCATATTAAAACTCAAATTAAAAAAATTGTAGAAAAATCACATCATCTTAATAAGGCTTCACTTGAAATGAACAATAACTAGTTTTCAAAATTCTTTCTACATTTCATTTCAAATGGCAAAATACAGTTTCAGTTTCATGCAAATTAAAAAATCAGCTCTTTTCTACAGTTCAGGAAAACAAAAACAAAAAACTCACAAAAACGAATATATTTTCTCATGCTTATACAAAAATTAAATCTTTTGGGGGTAAGGATTTTTTTTGTTCTTGGATTTAGTAAAGAAAACAAAAATGAGGCAGTCAAGAAGCTCGTTAGTATAAAATGAAGGATCTAGCAGTGAAATGTGAATTATTATGCTTTCATCATAAAGGTCAGTATTGGGTGCTTGAACTGCAATTATGTCAGTACTTCACCTTAAAACCTTCTCGCGTTTATTCAGCTTTTCTTTTGTCCTCGGATTTTTGTGCGTAATTGTTTGATATTATTTTTCTCTTTTTGGTGACTTAGAGGTTAAAAGGATGTAAAGAAGTACGATAGAGGAAGGAAAGAATAAAAAAAGAAAAAACAAGTCAGAGAAAGAAATGGGGCGAATAAAGACAGAGATAGAAAGTGAGGGGAGGAAGAAAGGCAGAGAGAGACAAAGAGAAAGAAAGAACCAGAAACAGAGTAAATGTAAGAACTAGGCAACACAATGAAGACAAAAATAATCTTACCTGACACTAATGAGTGTCGCAACCAGGTGACACGTCATCTCTCCCTTCCCTGCACCTTCCCCCTTTCTGCTCTTACATTTCCCTTGCATCTCCTCCTTGCCTACATTTCCCCCCTTTCCTGCACCTCCCCTTTACCTACAACTCCCTTCACCTGCACCTTCCCCTTGCCTACACCTCCATCCTTACCTGCTCCTCCCCCCCTCTTACTTGTACCTCCCCCTTTACCTACAGTACACCCCCTTACCCCCACCTCCCCTTCCTTGCATTTCTCCCTCCCGTACACTTCCATCCCCTTTAACCCCCTTGCAATCGACCTACTCCTTTTCACGTTCCTCCATCTCTCCCTCACTTTTACTCCCCCTTTGCCCTTACACCTCAAATTTCTTCTCTCGCTCCTCCATCTACCTGTCTGTTCTATCTCCTCCCTTATTCCATCTCGTCTCCACATTTTCCTTTTCACCTCATTCTCTTCCTTTTGTCTTCCTCTACTTTTCCTCCCATTTATCTTCCACTTAGACCTTCATTTCTTATCTCGTCTCTACTTCCTTCTCTCCCCCTTCCTTTTATCTACCCCTTTCCCTCCCCACCCCCTTTCTTACCTACTCCTCACCTGGCTCCCCGTTCCATCACCCCCACCTGGCTCCTGCATCACCCTCACCTGGCTCCTGCACCATCACCCCACCTGGCTCCTGCACCATCACCCCCACCTGGCTCCTGCCATCACCCCCCACCTGACTCCTGCACCATCACCCCCCACCTGGCTCCTGCACCATCACCCCCACCTGGCTCCTACACCCATCCCCACCCCACCTGGCTCCTGCACCATCACCCCCACCTGGCTCCTGCACCATCACCCCCACCTGGCTCCTGCACCATCACCCTCACCTGGCTCCTGCACCATCACCCCCACCTGGCTCCTGCACCATCACCCTCACCTGGTTACACTCTAATGACGCCATAAACCACGCTAAACACAGCAGCTTAAAGGCTCCATAAACGCCATTAACAGCTCACCATAAGATAACCACGACATAACCACTATGAGGCGCCGTAACTGCCCACAGGCTAATGCTCACCACCAACGTCGTGAGTTATAAACAGGTGTCAAGACATCCTTAAATTATTACCTAAAACCAATAACCACACGTGTTAAATAACCTTAAATGTCATAAATTCATATAAAAACCTAAAATTATACCAAAAGTCACCATAATTATAGTACCAGAAAGGATAATGTTAAATAATGTTGTGATATTCTAAAATACTATAAAAAATAACTACATTATTATATACGTCTCAGGTTGTTGTGACAGTGTTTGTATTGTTAGTAGGGAATGGTGACAGCCGTGAACCTTGAGTACTATTATTATGGTATCACGATCATATACAAGGCTGGAGTCATCTCTCTCTCTCTCTCTCTCTCTCTCTCTCTCTCTCTCTCTCTCTCTCTCTCTCTCTCCTCATTACCCTCCTTTATCTCCCTTATATTTACTTTGCCTTATTTTCGTCTCTTCATTTCCTCTAGGTTTTCCTTCTCTCACTGATCTTGTTCTCTTCTCAATATCATTTTTCCGTTTCCTCTGTTCCCTCCATTGTATTCATACTGTCCCTTATTCTCTCTCAACAACGTTCGTTTATATTCCTTCCTCCTCCTCATTCTCCTTCTCTTTCTCCTCTTATTCCTCCTCCTTGTCTTACTTCTCATCCTCTTCTCCATCTTCTCCCTCTCCATTCATCCCCTCTTCCTCATCCCCTCCTCCTCCTCTTTCCCCCATCCTTGTCTTCCTCATCCCCATCTCCTCTCCTTTGTCCTTACCTCTCCATTCACCTCCTCTTCTTCACCTCCATCATCATCATCATTCCCCTCCGCCTCCTCCCTCCTGCTGGGCCACTAATGTAAGCTTCCAACCTCCAGGTGGGGTAAGCAGGAAGGGATTATGGCCTTTAAGTTACCTGAATTAACAACACAATGGTGATTCGCTAAACCTTATAGTACTTTCTTTTATAATCTATCTTTAAAATTTTGTTTTTGGAGGGGGGGGCGGGGAGGAGGGGGTGAAGGGTAGTGGACTTTTCTTTCTTTTATCTATTATTTTGTCTATTGATTTAATCATAGCTGTTGTATTTTATTTCTCTTTCTCTCATTCTCTTTTTTCTCTTTATCTGTTTATATTTATTTGTCTCTTTCTCTCTTATGCATCTGCTCTCTCTCACCTCCAACAGAAAGCCGAAATGTTATCTCACATTTTCCTACCAGGTAAACGGTTTTTTCCTCCATTACCCTCCACGATTAAAAGCCCAAAACTAATTAAGACCATGCAATATTTTTCTATATCTTGCATCACCGCCTCTGTTGGCATAATGTAACACTCTCTCTCTCTCTCTCTCTCTCTCTCTCTATCTATCTATCTATCTATCTATCTATCTATCTATCTTAAAGCTGTCGTAAGGATACCTGGTTGGGTTGTGAACTTCATTCAGTTAAACGTAATATAACGTAACATAACAACAACACAGTACATAACAAAACATACTCACACGACCTCACATGACCTCACACCAACACAGTACATAACAAAACATACTCACACGACTCACATGACCTCACACGACTTCACACATACCCAACATAAGAATGTAGATCTCCAGTGACGTTCCAGCATTGTTTTAATATTCAGTGTGGAGTATGTTATGACTAGTAAGAGGAGGAGAGCTGGAGCATGTGTCAGAACCCCTGTTTTATGCTCCCTGCTGACCCCCCACACACGCTCCCCCCTCCTGAGACACTACAAACACTGGGGTGAATTTTCGCCCGGAGGTTGTCTTAGAGATTTTCTGTGTGTGTGTGTGTGTGTGTGTGTGTGTGTGTGTGTGTGTGTGTGTGTGTGTGTGTGTGTGTGTGTGTGTGTGTGTGTGTAAGCGCTATATAAGAGGAACACTTATAAATATACGTGGAGGCTATGAAGGGGGGGGGTGAAAGCTCGGTCTCTGGAAAGAAAATTACTGATTATTATTCCTTAAGGATTTACTTAATCTTCTTAGTACCAGATGATGACGAAAGAGATGATGATGCTCTCTCTCTCTCTCTCCACACACATGACACACACAATGGCACACC